GCCGCTGTCTTAATACCAGCCTGTAATACCAGCACTTTGGGAAGCCTAGCTGGGAGGCTTGTTTGAGGCTAGGAGTTTGAGATCAGCTTGGGCAACATAGCAAGACCCTATCTTTATAAGAAAGAAAAGAATAAGAAAAATGAAGAAAAAAGACAGTGGACTCTTAGAGGCAGAAAGACTTGAGCTTGAATCCTGGATCCTAGCTAGAACTTGGGAAAGTTAGTGTAACTTCTCTAAGCCTCAGTTACCTCTCCTGTAAAATGAGGGAAATAAACAAGACTTATATCATTGCGTTATGGTGAAAAAGAAAGGAAACAATGCATAGGAAGAACCTAGCTCAGTTCCTAGAAGCAGTCAATATATGTAAGCGAATAATAATTGCATCTTCCATGAACTGGTGATTTTCTATGCATGTTTATATTCCATTCATATTTAATTGTTCTGCTTGCAAATTAGTTATATAAGTAAAAAAGAAACCACCCAGTAAACTACATGGCCCAACATAACTGAATTCAGCAAGACACCACCCAATTAAATTATGTTAATTTTTACTAATCTAGTTTCCTCTTTCCATTTCCATTAACTCAATTTAGTTCTTTATCTCTCATTTAGGTTATCAGAACAGTTTCTGTTCAAAATCAAGGTTGTGAGAACATAAGTACTGGGTATCAAGTACTGTGCTAGAGCTTACTCCATAAAGATGATTATGACACAGTTTCTACCTGCAGTTTCCTGTAGGAACTATAGGAAGCTGACAGACACAGATAATTTTCAAGCCAGAGTGGTGTCATGGCAAGCATGGGTATGCACAATGTGTGTGTGTGTTTGTGTGTGTGTGTGTGTGTGCGTGTGCGTGTAGGGGGTGGTCAGGAAGCCTTCCAGGAGAAGGTGATGCTTGATGTGAGTCTTAAAGTACATTTAGGAGCTCACTGGGGTGAGGGGTGTGGCATGTGTGGGGCTCTGTGGTGTTTGTTAGGGGATTAAGTATTTAATGAAGGGAGTGGAGAAAGGCAGGCTGAAGAGGTAGACAGAAACAGATCACAGAAGAGGTAAATAGCGGGTGGGGTTGGAGGAGAGTGATGCGGATTTGGAATGGAAAGGAGTTGAAGAACTAATAAAAGAATAGTGAATATCACCCCCCACTCCCCACTCCCTACAGAAATTAGAAACACATCCTCCAGTTTTTCTTCACTAGTTTATTATCCTTGTTCATTCTAACTATCTTCATGTCAAGACCCTGCTTAAAAATCTCTTACTAACTACCCTTCTCCCCCACATAATTCAATACAAACTCTTGGCCTTTGATTATTTGACCCAACCTTCCCTCCCAGCCTTGTCCACATTCACCTTCCCATACTTCTGTTGCAAAGATCTCTGCTACTCTGACACTCCATGCTTCCTTAGATCCTGGGGCTTTTGCGCACACTCTTTTTCACTGCTGAGAATATCCTTTCCCTGTTCTTTACCAACAAACTCCTACTCGTTCTTCAAAGTCCAACTAATGTATTATCTCTTCTGTTAAATCTTTTCTGACTCATTCAGGCAGAACAATTTCTTATGATAGCATTTACCATATTGCATAGCAATTTATCTGTTTATTTCCTACTGCCCACGCCCCTCTTACCCCCACTCCCACTATCCTTGTCTTTTCTGGGTTTATCCTAGGACATACCTACCACAGTGCTAGTAGGAGCTCAACAAATAAATACATTTCTCTTTGTTCTGTTTCTATAAACCAAATGCACTCTCATTCATATTTAATGTTTGAATGGACTATTTTTCTTTTTGTAGTTACGTTTTATGAACTCATAAGGTGCTACTGACACTTTAAGTTTGTTGAAGAAGTTTGCTCACTTAATTCTGTTAGTGGTAGGCTGTCAATATTCAAAATGCTCTTCTATAATTCATTTTTCCTTAAAATTCTTTACCGACCTGTTGATGAGCCAGTAGCTGAAGTGTCAGGAGGTGATTCTTTAAATACATTTTTAATACCTATAATTATACACAACAAACCCACATGCCCTCCTCTGACTCCATATGCTAGACTTCGGTTCTTCTCCTTATTTTCAGTTCAAGGAGGAAAATGTAAAATGTCCTGGGGTGGAGATGGCAAGAGGGTTGATCTCCTCTCAGATTTACAGATTTATATAAAATTTGAAGCTAGAGGAAATGTTAAAAATTACCTAGCCTATATCTTTTTTAAAAAAGTGAATGGGGAAATAGAATCAGAGGTCATAAGTGTCCTAAGGTTGCACAGTGAATAAATAGTAATCAGTCCAGAACATGCATTTGCTGATTCCAAGATACGTATTCTTTCTCTTACGTCACACTGGCTACCCTGAAAAATGGTTTTCTGAAACCATATCCAATATACTTTTGGATGTCTCCAGGCTTCTATTTCCTAGTATGTAAAGTAGGAATAATAGGAGTAGCTGTTTCCTGGATTTGTTGTGAGAATTACATGAACTAACAGATGCAGGCCAGGTGTGGTGGCTCATGCTTGTAATCCCAGCACTTTGGGAGGCCAAGGCGGGTGGATCACCTGAGGTCAGGAGTTCGAGACCAGCCTGGCCAACATCGTGAAACCCCATCTCTACTAAAAATACAAAAATTAGCTGGGCGTGGTGGTGCATGTCTGTAATCCTAGCTACTTGGGGGGCTGAGGGAGAAGAATCACTTGAACCTGGGATGTGGAGGTTGGAGTGAGCCAAGATCTTGCCACTGCACTCCAGGCTGGGCAACAGAGGAAGACTCTGTCTCAAAACAAAAACGAAAAACAACAACCCCCTCCAAAAAAAAAAAAAAAAGATGCAAGATGCTAAGAACAGTACCTAGTCATAGTAAATGCCTGAAATATAGCACTATTTATTCTTAAGGCCCAGGGTAATACACCCATGATTAGTAAAGGACTTATTTGTTTACTTTACCTTTTATTTAATCTAACAATTACCAAAGTTACTGTTTTTGTTTGTTTGTTTTTTCCCTTATTCAAACCATGCTACAAATGTTAAGATAGTCCATGGGCTGTAGAATCTGCCTGGGTGTATGTACTTAGGACCCGTCCTTTTATGTTGTAGGATCTAGCTTCTCTGAGCCTCAGTTTTTAACTTCTCTGAGCCTCAGTTTCCTCATCTGTAAGATGGGCTTAAATCACATCTACTTTCCTTTAAAGAGTCCTTTAAATGGGAGAACACATGCACAATGCCCAGCCTAGTGTCTGGAGTTCAGTGTTCCTCACTGCCTTGCACAGATGTCTACAATGTTGACAGATGTTGCATGGCCAATGTTGACATGTTACATCACCAAGGTCGGATCTAAAATGTTTATTTAGAACAAAGCACTTCTAGGGTATTGGCCATGGGAAAATGTTTCAAGGTTAAAAGTAGAAATGTGAACCTTGTCTGCTTTACATAGGTGATTCTTTGTTTTTTTTTTTTTTTTTTTCTTGAGAACAGTGGTTCTGTCACCAGGCTGGAGTGCAGGGGTGAAATCTCGGCTCACTGCAAGCTCTGCCTTCCAGGTTCATGCCATTCTCCTGCCTCAGCCTCTCCAGTAGCTGGGACTACAGGCACCCGCCACCATGCCCAGCTAATTTTTTGAATTTTTTAGTAGAGATGGGGTTTCACCGTGTTAGCCAGGGTGGTCTCGATCTCCTGACCTCGTGATCCGCCTGCCTCGGCCTCCCCGAGTGCTGGGATTACAGGCGTGAGCCACCGCGCCTGGCCTACATGGGTGATTCTTGGAGTTGATTCCCAAAGGGGATGCTTGGCTTTTTACTTGACAATTTTTTCCATATCCAGATCAAAGGTATGCTATTATATACTGACATTAAAAAATATATAAGTTGGCTTACTTTTTATTTAAATCTATTTTAGAAGGAAACTTTCTATCACAACTTGTGCTAGTTCTGGTTTTCCTAATACATATAAAACTACCCAATTAATAAAATGTTAAAAAATTAACATGTGCACTACCTAAATCTCACATGCCAACTTTTAATTAAGGTCAGCGACATTAGTGACCAAGTCTGTCAGTGCCTGGCTTAGAGGAGGTAGCACTGCCCACAGTTGTTCAGGGAGTGACTCCTTTAGGCTTGCCCCAGTACACAAATTTATGGATCCACAGTGCCCTTGTGACATCACATATTTGGCGAATGTCTTCTGTTAGGACCATATTTAAGGTCTTTTAGCGGATGATGCCCTCCTATCCCTGAGCAGGGTGTGTGTGTGGAGGGGTTGGAGGTGGTTGGCTCTAGAGATCAGAAGTAGCAACGTGGGGCCAGGGAGCAGTGACTCACACCTGTAATCCCAGCACTTTGGGAGGCTGAGGAGGGTGGATCTCCTGAGGTTAGGGGTTTGAGACCAGTCTGGCTAACACGGTGAAACCCCGTCTCTACTAAAAATACAAAAAAAATTAGGCAGGCTTTGTGGCATATGCCTGTAATCACAGCTACTTGGGAGGCTGAGGCAGGAGAATTGCTTGAATCCGGGAGGAGAAGGTTGCAGTGAGCCAAGATCACGCTACTGCACTCCAGCGTGGGTGACAGAGCGAGACTCCGTTTCAAAAAAAATAAAAATAAAAATAAGGCCAGGTGCGGTGGCTCACGCCTGTAATCCCAGCACTTTGGGAGGCCGAGACGGGCGGATCACGAGGTCAGGAGATCCAGACCATCATGGCTAACACGGTGAAACCCCGTCTCTACTAAAAATACAAAAATTAGCCGGGCGCGGTCCGGTTGCCTGTAGTCCCAGCTACTTGGGAGGCTGAAGCAGGAGAATGGCGTGAACCCGGGAGGCGGAGCTTGCAGTGAGTGATCACGCCACTGCACTCCAGCCTGGGCGACAGAGTGAGACTCCGTCTCAAATAAATAAATAAATAAATAAATAAAAATAAAAATAAAAACTATTATTGTGCACACAGACGTCTCAGCTGCAAATTTCTTGGACTTACCTGGTATCTTCCCATTATAGATGTCAACCATTCCAATTAATTGCTTTCATCATTCAGTAGATTGTCTAGGAGGAATTAAGGGGTATAGGAATGCTTCATATGTAACGTTAATTCTCAGTGATGCCTAAACTTTACTATGAACTTCCACTTCATTGTACTAAATATCACTCTCTCCAGAGTTGTATTTGACAGTGCCAGTGGTCATCTACTGACCAATATATTAAGTTATTTGCACATGACAATAAATTTACTGGGACTGCATTTTCCTTCAGGGCAGAAAAATTTTTTGAAAAAAATGGGCAATTGAGGTGAGGGTTCCTTAGACTAACTGCACATTTACCCAGGGTTGGCCTAAAGTCAAACAACCTTCATGGATTTAAATGATTCAGATCATTCAGATAAGGAGAAGGTAATTAGAGTAACAGAGGGCTCATCTGAAGGCAAAGGTTATTTGCTACTCACAGTGGTAAAGTGGTACAGCAGCAAGTATGGCCATGCTCTGAAAACAAGCACAAGGCTCCAGCCACACCAGGTGGTACAAAGACAGCTAGAACTGACGGTGGGACCAGGCTCCACAGACACGGTCAGAGTTTTAAGCCGAGAGATTATAAACCTGGCATATGGAGTGAGGGACAAATACTCAAAAAATGGTTGCCTAGCCCCAAATAAGCATTATAGAGCCCCAAATAAAAAGGTTTAGAGGGAAAATCCATGTGTTTATGTGTAACTGACCCTCCTGCCAGGGAAAACCTGATCATGGCACACATCCAGAAGAGGTGGAAACCTCCGTGACATGCATCTCCACTCTGAGTTCCAATCACTATCTGCAGGCCTGGGTTTCTTGTCCATGTTAAGGAAGTATCCATCTCACCTGCCTCTTCCAGCTTCATTACCTTCCCTCCTCCCGACTTTTAAAAACCCACCCCTTCCCAATCCCATCCATCATCCCCAACTCTCCTCCACTGAGGATTACAAGAACTTGGCAATTTGGTCAGAAGCGGTAAAAAGTGCTTCTCAGTGGTTATTTTTCAAAACCAATGTATCTTAAATCCTTCAGTCTTTTACTAGAAAGGGCCCAGGGACTGTCTTTTGCCCCTACCTTTCTTGTAAGTGTGGAGTGCTGGTTCTCAGAAGCAGGGGCCATCTGTGTAGCATTCCTGGTTCCTAGCCTGGGGCTTGATGGCTGCCTCTGCCCTTTTCTTTGATTTTGCCCTCCCCTCATCTCTGTGGGAATCCCAGCCCTGGGGGAACGGGCAGAAGAGGGGGCAGGGCACCTTCAGCAAACACATGGTGAATATGAGTCACCACCAATCTAATGACCTTTCCATTTGTTATCAGTTTCCATGGCCACAGCTGGTCTCAGGATGGGACACAGCCCTCCACAGGTCAGAGTTATTACCTCACTCCTTAACAGCCTCTCTAGCCAGCCCCCTTGTTGGTTTCAGGATAGGCAAGCAGGATGGGAGGGCAGGATCGGGGGCCATCTGCACACTGGCTTCCAGTCCTCTTTTCTCCTCCTCTCATCTCCTCCCAGGACCTCAATTCCAACTCATACTGTTCCTCTCTCACTCAGCCCAAACATCACCACCCTTGGAAGCCTTTTCAGAGGGAGGTCTTTGTCAATGTGGAGCTAGTCCCTCTTTCCTCTGGGCTCTCACAGCACTCTGTGATCACCTGAGTTATGGCACTTGCCACATGATACTATGATGATTGGTTTACATATCTGTCATACCCACCCTCCTTGCTCAGACTGTGACCTTCTCATGGGCTGGTGTGTGTCTTATTCATTTGGGTGTCATGGGAGCCTGACTCTCAGCAGCTTGCTCCCAGGAGGTGCTCAGAAAATGTTAACTGAGTGAAGGAAGGGAAAGGGGAAGAGAAATGGTATTTTATTCATTTATTGAGCAAAACACAGGTAGGATGCTACAACGAGGCACTGATGCAGTAAAGAAAGCAATGGCGCTTTTAATGAAACTTCTTTCAAATCTGTGAACATGCTAGCTGTGAAGTAAATCCTTTTATTCTTTCCATAGGACATATTTCCAAACAATGATCACAGTGTTATGGTTAATAAGATGCTGGACAGATGAGGAGCCGAAGAATATTATATAACAACAAAATCTCATCAATGATATATCAAATGCAAATTTACTGAGACATCAAGAGAATATGTGTTTGTAATTACATGGCTAAAAACAAGACATTATTACAGTAACCAAGTCCATAAAACTAGAAAAAAAGCACTGTATAACAAAAAGGCCTTTTAGAAGCTATTAAATGAATAAACATTATAGATAAACCAATTTTATATCTGAAGCAGCTTATAGCACCAACACGTTGGCAGGACCAGCAGAGGGGTGGGGTCTTTGGACCAAGGCATCTGGGAACTGGAAGGGCTCTCAGCCATCATCTCCTGCAGCCCCTTGTTTTACACATGGAGAAACAGAGGCTCAGAGAGATGAAGCGCCTTGTCCAAGGTCACACAGCACAGGACAGACTGGAAAATGATCCAGGGCTATGATCCAGGCCACTGACTTCAGGTAAGTGCTCTATTTTAACACACAGATACAAGATTCTATTTGATGTGATGTATTTTTTTTCCCCCATTAACAGGTCTACCATAAAAGAAAGCAATACAACTCATAATGTCCTCTGATATTGTATTTATTTCACTGAGAAACGACTGGCATGTACTATAATCATTTTGGGGGCCTGTATAGATCTTACATCAAAATTCAGAGGAATTAGTCAGATAACACTATTTTAGTTATAAACTGGTTAAGAAGGTGGCATTTGAAGAGAATATTTGGCACATCCTCCACTATGTAAGCTACCCTATGCCTCAAAATTACCAAATCATTGGTATAAAGTTTTGGTTTTTTTCCTGATAGTTTAAAGATTAGTAAAGTACAAAAACAGTCTAAATAGAGAAAAAGCAAATCAGGTCTTTCCTTTAAAAGGTAAGTATGGCACTTTTCATTTTAATAAGGTAAGTGATTTTTAAAACCTGACATTTTTTAGAAGGAAAAAAAAACTAGCTATGACCCATCACTTGTGAACCATCTGATATATAAAATATTTCCCTTATTTAAAAAATGTTTCTGTAAAACACTTCGGAGTCATGAAATTTTGCCATGGTCCTGAGGCCTCAAGTGGACAGATTTATGATGAACTAATGAAGATGTAAGAATGAAAAAAAGAAAGAGATCACTGCTAACAGAAGCAGCATTAAGGACAAAGTATACTGAATATATTGAAATAGCTTCATGGAAATGAAGCCAAGAAGTTGCATGTATATACGTGAGAAAGTATATCATTACAGTGGTAGATGGAAAAAATAACAAACCCTGGGCATTTGTCTATCATTAACATAAACCAACTGCTGCAGACAGTTAAACTGTGGCTTTGTAAGGAGAATAAAGCCTGATAAATAAAAGTGACTTCTGCGTATCATATATACGTATACATATATTTTCTCACACAGACGTCTAGTTATAAGTAAATCAACATTTAGCTACAATTTTTCCCCTCTTGGGTCCAGCATCAAAAGATTTGATATTCATGAACATGCCCTACACCTGGTTAGGAAGTTACATATTTATACTCATAGCCTTTATTGTATTTGACCAGGGCAAAGAAAATGAAATCTCCTGGGACCTCAAGTCCATTTCTTACCACTATAAGCATATTAACAGATATATATCAAAACATACTTGTTTACTGTTAGGTAAAAGAGCATGTTTCAGTACTAAATAATAAACTATGCCTGCTACCAATAATGTGCACATAATGGTATAATAAAAGTAATTTTTCATGAAAATATTTTGAAAGAAGCTACATTATAAATATTTAAAGAAACGTTAAAAATCAGAGTGAAAATCAGATTAGTGTTCTGAAACTGAGTAGAAAAATAGACTTATAAAAAAAGAATGTTTCATTAAGTGAAGCATTAAATGTAAAGTTGTCTTTTTAGTGTAAATTTCCAATCTCACCCTTTGAGAGGTAAAATCTTTCTCTCTCCTAAACAGGTACTTATAATTGATTTGGGAACTGGGCATATTGCAGAACGAAAAAGCAGGCGACACAAGGCTAAGGGCAGTGCCGTGATTTTCACATGGCCTCAGAAAAGTGAGGGCCATTCACAAGGCTGAGGAGATAGCAACTTGGAGAAATACTGAATAAATGTGGGCAATTTAAAAACAGTAATGCATTTTGTTCACCCTAAATGAGCTAATACTCAAAGCCCAGACATTAGATTTTAAAAGGGGTTTGCTTTCCAGGACAGATTGTACAAAATTTGGGAAAATCATTGTAAATAATTGCTTCTTGGGGTTGATTCCTTTTTGAGAGGAAGTTTTTAACCTTTCCTTAGTAGTTACTTTTAACGAACTAAAGATGAATTAAAATATCAAAGGCCGTGTGTATGATTTGACTGCGAAGTGACTCTCTCTTCTACTTTGATAAAGTCAAGATACCTTATTGGCCATAGGAGATTCCTCCTTTTGGGGCTACCCCCACACCCGGAAATTCCAAGGGTGTGAGGGCTGTATTTGGGCCCAGAGGAAAATCAAGGAACTCCATACACAGTTGCTGAAGCCCTTGGGCCCAAGGAGTGTACCACTGAATCCAAGGCTCTCTTGGGTAGCCTATAGGCCTCTTGGATGGTGTATGAACAAGGTAGGGATGAAACTGCAGATATCTGAAAAGAGCTTAAGCATCCTGACAACTTTGCATTTTTTTAAAAAAATTTTTTTTTCTCACCGTGTTCCACACACCTGCGGCTGGGGAAGGTGGTATTAATTCTGCAAACAGATGCTCTGGTAAGATAGGAAAGATACAGGGAAGGCAGAGAGAGCAAGACAGAGGGCTCAATCACAACGCTGGGACAAGGAGAGCAGCTGGTTTTCACACATTCCTGCTCCTCTCTCAGCCGGGCTCATGTTCACTCCGTTTCATTCCAATGATCAGGGTGGAGATTTCAGAGGTGCCTATCCCTAATCCAGTAGAGAACATGAGCCCTGGGAGCACAGCTGCATGGGGTCCTCCCAAGGGTCTCCTCCCTTTTTCCAGACTCAGCATCATTGAAGCCCAAAAGGGTCCTTGTAAATTAATGTCTCATATTATTGAAGGACTGTCAGTTTAGCTTGGTGCAGTTTATTGTAGCCTAAGAGGTCCAGCAAGATTTCAAGAGAGGAGAGATGACTGCATTACTTGATTACAATGAATACAATCTTTAGGATACTCTTTACTTTTTGTACAATAACGATATGAAAGGAATTTTTTTATTCTACCTATACACAGCTCAAAGTAAAGGTATAACTTCTGGAACTGAGAAACTGATGGTATGGAAAGAGGGATGTTTTCATAAGAAAATAGCTTTGATAAGTGTATACACAAAGGCATATATATACACAAAACATCCCTCTCCCTTATATACTATACAGGCTGGCACACGCCTTATAAAGAATATGATATAAAGGCTTTAGGATTTCAATTAATTTTGGCATTTTAATTTGACAGGTGCTTAGGCAATTTAGGTCCTGACATATCGGAATCCATTGTATATTTAAAGTATATAATTATGTTTTTAAAAAGGCCCAGATCAACTTTCCTTAAACAGTAACCCAACATAAAGCTATAGTTACCAAGTGGAAAATAAGATTGTTATTCTGTATTAAATCAGTAAAGGGTATTTTAAGAGAAAGGACAACTTGGAAAATAGAGACTTCAGAGTCTGTTATTCCAAGTTGAGAACATTTTAGTTATTAGCAGTGGTTACCAAATAAGCTGAAGGTAAATCTCTTCAAGGAGCTGCTCATAATTTGCTTTGTTGAGAAGAGGCGAGGAGCTGTTTCTCTATTCCACTATAAGATGATGCAAGTTTTTTTATCCTTGAAAGGGTTTTCTGAAGTTGGTATTCCTATCAGCAAAGGGTCACTCCTGGCATGTTCCTCACAGTAGGACATGAGGTCCGCTGATGCCTTCGAAACCTAGCATGGAAATAAATCAAACAAACAAGAAAGAAAATATTTTACTTGCAGACTTTCAAAGTGTATTTGAATGCTAGCCTATTGAATGGAAGACTGATTTGAACAAGATCATCAGAGTCTCAAAGCATCACTTTCAGATACTTGTCAGGTTAAAAAAAGGTAACAGTGCCTTTAAAAGGGTGCAATTTGGCAGGTAAGGTCTTTCTTAACCAGGCAACTTAACAACGCTCAGACAAAGTGGCACTATGTATCCCTTCAGGAGAGTGCTGAGGACACACCACCAGCTAATGAGCTAGCATTCCTGTCCAACATTTACCTGGAGTCCAGTCAGCAAACGATCACACCTAAAGTGAGGGTGATTCTGCAAAATAAGTGGCCTGGATTCTTCAAAAATGGACTGTGTGTTAGGTATTCTTGTTAGATAATCCTGAACTGCAAATAACTTTCGAAGGTTTAAAGAAGACATTATATGTTTTGTGTGTATGCGTGTACAGACAGATGGAGGGAGAGAGAGAGTGCAAGCAAGTACATGTGGTCAAATGTTAACAACTGGTGAATCCTAGTAAAGAGCTTATAAATGTTTGTTGTTACAACTCTTCTGCAGGTTTGAAATGTCTCAAAATAAAAAGTTAGGGGCCAGGTGAGAAAAAGCATATGTGAATCAAGGGAAGGTTGTATCTTAATTTCTACCTCCCCCCCAGCAAAAAAAAAAAAACAGATTGGAATGCAGAACAGACTTTAAGAACTGAACGATGGGCTTGGAGCCAAAACCCTGGAGCCAAGTCGTGGAGTTTTAAGATTTACTGTTAGAGACTGGGCTTGCGGAAGTAAAAAGAGAGACTAAACCAGCATGGGAAGAGGCAGCACCTTACTCTGGCATGAATTAAACAGGGAAAATATCATGCCCTGTTTCAGAAGTCTGGGAAGGAGATCCTACAGAATAGGATCTCTTTGCCCTACGCAAAGAGCAATGGGGCAGCTGAGCCCTGTCTAGTACAGCCCAGATAGCCTCATGCTGGAAAGACAGGTGACTATCTCCAGGCCCAGAGGAATGGATCAGGTGACTGCTTCAGTTTCTTTCTTTTTTTTGAGACCAAGTTTCGTTCTTGTTGCCCAGGCTGGAGTGCAATGGCACGATCTTGGCTCACCACAACCTCCACCTCTCAGATTCAAGCAATTCTCCTGCCTCAGTCTTCTGAGTAGCTGGGATTATAGGCATGCGTGCTCCACCATGCCTGGCTAATTTTGTAGTTTCAGTAGAGACAGGGGTTTCTCCACGTTGGTCAGGCTGGTCTTGAATTTCCAACCTCAGGTGATCTGCCTACCTTGGCCTCCCAAAGTGTTGGCATTACAGACATGAGCTACCGTGCCCGGCCAACTGCTTCAGTTTCAAGGAAGAACTAGTCATAACATTCCAGGGCACTCACTGCCTAGTTCTCTCTTGGGATTCAGGGGAAAAGACTTCGAAGTCAGGTGATCTAAGAAATGCATTCCAGTTTCTCTATGCGATCTCAACTAAAGCTGGCATTATTACTCTGGGCACAGAAAGTGGTCACTGAGGGCCAAACACATTTAAAAGCTTCATTTCCCTAAAAAGGAAACCTAGACTGTTGACTTGTTATGCGAAGCTGCCTCAGCTGCACTGATAACTCTAGAACACTACAATTCCAGAGGAATGACTAGGGTGTTGATGAAGTCTACTTGGAACCCCTGTCCCACTTTAGAACACAGGGATCAACGGACTTGACCATGTTCATTCAGGGGAGACAGGTCCTCAGGAAATCCTGTCTCCGAGTTTTACAAACAGAGAGGCTAATGCAGACACTTTTGAAGTGAGGCTCATGCTAGATAGGAAAATGAAAGTTAAAATTTTGAGACTCTCAGCCTGTTCTGGAAAAATCCTGGAAGCAAGCGAATGAAATGGTATTATCTTCTCTGGCAAGTGGTCCAGCCTCCCAGGAGCAGAGGGAACTGAGTAGAAAGCACATGTTATCCAGTCGGGGCTTCTTACCTTTATTCTTTCAATGGAGGCTTCTAATCTTAACTGTTGCACAGTTCTCCTTGCCTGGGCTATATTGTTGGTACTTGCTGTTTTGCTGGACATCTTCAATTTTTGTTTTTACCTGAAATCTGAGGAGAATTTTTTTTTGAAGTAACAGGCATCTTTAAGTTATTTAAACATTCATAATAATATGTTCCACTTCAAGGGAAATAGATGGATTTTCCCAGTCATTGCAGCTCCTTGGAGGCAGTTACTAAAATGCCCCTTAGAAATTTGAGCGGTGACCTAGGTATCTAAGTTTGTCATCCATTTGAGCACCTACATAAATCTTTAGTTTGTAGAAACCCAGCACTAGCAGTTTAATCGATGCACCCCAACATATAACATAAAGCTAGACTTTTCTAGGATTTCCTAAGAGGAAACAAATACGCAAACACTTGTAGTAGTTAGGGCACCTGTGGCAAAAGTGAGCATTTGCTATGGGAGGCACATTACATATCAGTTTAATATTATTGCTACCAACTTTCACAGAAGGTTTGATTTCATTTTTTTTTGGGCTCTTGCACCCAACTATTAGGCTGATCAAAGTCCTGGCAACAGAAAAGGAGAAGAGAGCTCCTCTAGAGAACTTTGAAAAAAGGGCGCTTATTTTTAGGTACTGTCATGATGTGGAATCGTTTTCAAAGTGTTAGGCACATAAGGAAGTCTTTATTCATGAAAGAGTGAAACCTTTCAGTGGAGACTCTCTGTGATAGATACACAATAAATGTCAAATGGGATACATGAGTAGCCTACAGTCTGAAATAATTAATGAAACTTTATTATTCCCTCCTTTGACCTCTCCCTGGTCTCATCATGATGGTCTGGGCACTTGCTAATCCTGTTACTCCATCATATGTTCGTGGATTGATTCTCCTCTCTAGCCTGGGCTGTTGGCCTCTAGGCTGCCCTGCTGCCCTCTCTCCTTAGCCACCTGGTATAAAGCAATGGAAACATCCTGGCCCTTGCTTTACAAACTGGTTGTCCAATAGCACACTGCAAGAGGAAGGCAGGCTGGGGGAAAAGTGCTGCCTGGTGCCCTGACCTATATGGCTAAGTTCATTCTCATCAGGGTGGCAACTGGAGGAAAATGCAGGGCTGGCAGGCCTGGCAGCAGTGTGGTAGTTTTATGACTCATGGGAGCAGGTGGACAGTAGGTGTGCCTCCCCGGCGCTATGTGAGGGCTCAGCAAAGTCTTAGGGCTCCATGGCGCCAGCAGCAAACTCAGGCTGACTCAACCTTTTGGAAAGGCTGCGGCTGAATAATGTAATTCTGCCATAAAGGCCGAGACCAGACAAAGCTGCAAAAAACACTAGCAACCCAGACTCCAGGGCATCCATCATGTGGGCACCACGGTGCTCCACGCTGAGTTCTACCAGACTTAGAATATTCCCAAAGGCCGAGTTCCAGGACTTGGGTAGGGCTTGTAGCCTCTGTGGTCAGAGGAACTTTTGGGTCAAATGTACAAATAAAATTGTGCTTTTAACTGCATGCAGAATTTTGAATCAGCCTAATAAGCAACCTTCACATTCCAAAGGATTTTTAGGGGGATTCACTTTACTGTTGCACATCAAGTATTCTGCATAGGACCAAGACATTCCATCAACTGCAGCTGCTAGTATTTTTATCCTTGGGGGTCATATACAGCACAGTGAATTGCAATTCCCTGTTTACCTGTTTGTTCTGCACTTCCCCAACAACTGGTCAATGAGCCTCAAGGGTTCTGATTGAGCAGGTCTGGGTGGGGCTATGGGCACCAGCCCTTTTTAGAGTCCCTGGGCAATTTGCGCCACTAGTGTCAGAGCCGAATGCAAAGACTAGTGACAGCCATCACAGGATTTCCCTAGGAATAAGGAAGCTCTAGCAGTACAGAAAACTGGGAGGATGAAGCATGTGGCAGGGCAGGGTGGCCTTGCCTTGTGTTAAGGCTTGGACAAGCTCATTTCAACACACTCCCAGAGTAGCTACCTTTTCCTCAGATTCCTCAGTTATCCCTGCCCCACCCAAAAAAGAGGCCTAGGGTCTCTTAGATTCTGCTCACACCCAGTGGCCTGGCCCAACCCCTTTCTGTGCTCCCAGGCCAGCACTTACTAACAGAGCCTCTGAAATGCAACTGAGGAAGTGGGCAACCTCACCCTGAACAGTGTGCAGTGCTCTGAGTCACAGCAAGTTGGACATATATATGTATTTTGTTCCCTGCAGCAAATTAAACTGGGCTCTCCTTCCAGCTGGCGCTGGTTCTGAGGCCCCCAGACTCCAGAATACGAACATGACACCCTTTCTCAGTGACCTGTGGTTTCCATGTTGCACCCTAAGGACTTTCTAAATGTTCCCTTTGCATGAGGATAAGGTCAAACATTCTCTTCTTCCCAATCTCCAGGGCATAAAGTTTCCAAGGCCTGAGCAAGTTTTCCGGTAACTGCAGAACAGTTCACACATATCAGGACTGGACCAGTAATTGCTCCCACCCGGCATGGCCATTGGCAAGCAGTCCACAGTCAGACTCTATTAATATTTATAAAATGCTCGAGTAGGTCCCTCTAAAGTTGGCGAGACACTCAGCATTTAGTACATGAAGGTCTTTCTTACTTCCTGACTATATTATAGTCAAGATTAAAAACAGCCAGCAATTCATGATTCACACTTGCCAGCTCAGGCTTCTTGCAGCTTTCCTGCATTCTGATATCTGTGTTCAGACCTGCTTCTTCAGAGGGCTTTCTCCAACCTTGTCACTCAGAGGCTCCCTGCTCCCTTCCAATGGGGTATTCCTGGTGGTCCCAGGCAAAGTCCATACAACACACTTTTAATTGAGTGCTACTGCTACTAGGTACAGTATATTGAGAATAAATGGCTAGGACAGGCACAGAGCTCCTGCCCTCACAGAGGCAACATTAAACAAGCCATCAGAGACCTCCTTCTGCTTCAGGCATAGTGGCCCCTCCTCCTGCTTTGCTACCCCTCTCAGGCTCCTAACTCGAATACAATTTCTCTGCTGAAAGTCCCTTCCCATCTGCTGGTACAAACATGGATAGCCTCACCCATAATACAAATTAAAGTTTAGGAGACAGGTAATTTTTACACCTTCATAGATTTATTAAACACAAACAACTTTCTATGAATATTGTATAGCAATTGTTTTGGGAAGTCGATTAAATGGGGGTAACTGTGATTGTAGGGGAATGAAAAATGACTTCCCTCCACCTTTCTCAGTTCTATGGCTGGGCTACAAATTAACCTGACATATAAACAGATTGACAGGAGGAAAACTGTATTTAATTATGAATGTACACATGGGAGTGCCACAAATATGAGACTCAAAGTGGTCAGATGATGAAAGCTCACATAGGATCCTGAGATACAGAAAAGAATGGGGGTACAGGGTTTCTAGGGGGTGGTGGCGACATGAATTACGGGAGGTAAGGGGAAGAAATAAATGGTGAATAAAGGTGGTTTTGTCAAGCACACAAAAATTCTCAGTTAACACAAGTTGTCTCACAGCAGCCCTCGGAAAAAGAGGTGACAGTCTGTCTGGATGTGGTGTCACCTCCAGTCTCCCCTCTTGGGATCTGAGTTAATCTTTCCCAGTTGATAAGATTTCCGGGAGAAGATTCGTGACAACTGAGTTCCTTTTGGAGGATCTGTCTTTAGGCTGATAAGGAGAGCTCAGAGAATACCTCTGCCTACATCTGCTGTTCCCCAAGTGTCCTCAGTTCAAAGTAATCAGCACACCAAAGTGTTATATTTTGGGTGGCATTTCCTGAACTCCTTCATGGTCATTCTTAGAAAAAGCTGTACACTGGGCCAGTGGAAAGGAAGATAATTTCTGATCATAACATTCTTCCTATGGAGAAAGCAGATCAAAATTAGACCATTTCAAGTTAGGGAGCCTCTGGTTCGCTGAGTTGCCACATGGTTGCACAAAGAGGGCCACTGTGTGACCCCTAAGAGGCAGAGGTGTTTACAGGAGCTGGAGGTCTAGCTAAGGACTTCCTTCTGACTTGCAGCTGCTCTGCAGCTCCTCAACAGTTGGGTTGTGCAGAACAAGACAGAAAGGCTGGGGAAACAAATATCTCCAAATATCTCTGTGCCTTTGGAGGGTTTTCTTTGGTCTTCCCTCAATGGTGAGGATGTTTGGCTGTTTGTTTGTTCTACTAAGTAGATAAAAAGGTTGCTTTATTCTTACACCGAGAATAGCTTCCAAGGCAAACAATACCTGATATTTGTATGGAACCTATGAGCACACACATTGCTTGCATATGCATTATTCCATGAAGCCTCACTATAATCCTGAAAGGTATCTTATTAGATGAGGCAATCAAAGTTAGAAAATCTTGCTTCAAAAGTTAACCCAGGCTGGGTGTGATGGCTGACACCTGTAATCCCAGCACTTTGGGAGGCTGAGGTGGGAGAATGCTTGAGTCCAGGAGTTTGAGACGAGCCTGGGCAACATAGTAAAAACTTGTCTCTACAAATAATAACACAAATATTTGCCAGGAGTAGTGGCACATATCTGTAGTCCCAGCTACTCAGGAGGCAGAAGTGGGAGAATCTCTTGAGCCCAGGAGGTTGAGGCTGCAGTGAGCTGTGATCATACCATTGCACCCCAGCCTGGGCAACAGAGTGAGACCCCCATTAAAAAAAAAAAGTGAACCTAGTTGGTAAGCCTTTTCACTCCAGAAGCCACCCTTCCCACTGCACCAAGGAAAGGATTAATTCCAATTAGTTTGATTCATACACACTCAGGGCATCACTGAATGCTCCACCATGTGGTTTTTTTTTTTTTCCTCTTTTTTTTTGAGATGAGTCAGGCACCTGCCACCACACCGGCTAATTTTTGTATTTTTAGTAGAGATGGGGTTTTACCATGTTGACCAGGCTGGTTTCGAACTCCTGACCTCTGGTGATCTGCCCGCCTTGGCCTCCCAAAGTGCTGGGATTACAGGCATGAATCACCACGCCCGGCCCACCATGTGGTTCTTAATCAGGGGTGACTGACACGTGGTGACCTAAAGTAGGGGGCTTGCTGATTGCCTTATGTTTGTGTAACACCTCCCTTCTCATGTATGCAAGCTAAACAAGAACATTCTCG